AGCCTCCCCCAGCCATTAAAGCTCAAGACTGATCACACTTGTGGGGCCAAGGCAAGGCCAGCCCTGCAAAAATAGTGAGCCCAAAATGAGCCACATGAACAAGCTGTTCCATTTCCAAGGAGACAAAGGGCCCAGGCCAGCCAGGCAAACAAGTTGCTAGGCAGCAGGATTAAACCCAACATCCTCACTCTGAGTGTATCAATAAACATGCTGCAGTGGTCGAGCGCTTCCTTTTCTCCCATCAGGAGAAAGGGCTGCACCTGACCGCAGCTTTGGTCTCTTCCTTATTTTCTCATCCTCTCATGGTCCTTCACTCCAGAAACCTCTGGAGCTGCAGCTGGTTGCTACAGTATATGAGAAACCGGATAGGCTAAGATCTCCAGCTGGGCCCAGCAACTGCTTCCTTGCCGACACGGGTGGCACCGTAGCACATGAAATCACGCAGAAGTATGGCTTCCCGGAAGGCAAGGGTCTAGGGAAGCATAAGAGGGACTGAGCACTGCATTGTCAATGCAGAAGACCAGCAACAGGATGGCAAGATCATGGTGGGTGATGCCACTGAGAAGGGTGAGTCTCAAGATGCATCAAAGAAGTCAGATTCCAGTCCACTAACTGAAATACTTAAGTGTCCCTCTGAAGTGGTCCTACTGAGGAACAGGGGTGGTACAGGAGAGGTCTATGAAGACTTGGAAACTGAAACCAAGGTGGAATGTGGAAAATATGGCGAAGTGGGCAAAAATGTGAATTTGACATTCCTAGTACTCCTGATGATGAAGCAGTATGAATATTTTTAGAATTTGAGAGCCAAATCAGCAATTAAAGGATTGGTTAAATAGCCTCCAAGCAGACATCAGAATATATCCATCTGATCAATTTCTACTCTCAATTATTTTGAAATCAATTGTGTGTGTTTTTCCACATCAAGAACCTGTTTTGGAACTCTCCAGATACCAGACGGGCATTCTACAGTCCAATCAATTGTGATGCTACCGAGAGTGCCTGGCAGACATCATAGGTTCAAAGGATTGGTGCCACATAACTTGAGACAGGCCTGCATACCCAGTGTACCCACACTCATCTCTGCCTTGGCCACTGTATCACTCAGGGTGTACTAGAGAAACTGATATAGCACAAGATACACAAATGTATAAGAAATTTCAACATTAGCTTGCCATAGTCAGCTCCAAAGTTGGATGAGGTAAGTGCACAGGGTGTCTGTATGCAGGAGCCTGAAGGGTCCAACTCAAGGGCTGGAGCTCACTGCAGTGTCCCGTGGCAGTCCGCATCAGGAGGCTGATGGGTCTTCCATGGAACACTGAAAAGTCTATGACAGAAGGCTGGAGAATCCCAAGGGGGAGCTGAGCAGTCTGTGCCAGAAGCCAGGAGACATCCAAGCTGAAGGCAAACACTGAGTTCCTCTGAAGGACCAGCAATCAGGCCCCTCCTCATTTGCCTTTTATTGTAAGCAGGCTGCTCCCCTGGCTGGGCATAGCCCTCACACCATTTGTGCCCCTCTTCTTGCACAGGCTGAGGATGTTACACTAAGGCCTCCTGTGAGTCACTTGGTTAAACTTCTGACATTCGCAAATTGACACAGTGAACAATATCTTAGAATGGTAATGCTTGTCCTCTGTAACCCCTCTCCCCCAAGTACAGCTGCTTAGTCACTTAGTTAAACTTCTAGACTTCCCAAATTGACAGAATATATTTAGCATAACAGCTACAAAGCTGGAGGTTCCCACATTCAGCTTGATTCATATTCAGTAACATGGTAGAACAGCTCACAAAACTCAAGGAGCTTGTTGTTATGTCTGTTTGTTATAATGGATATAACTCAGGAATTGACCCCAGGGAAAGATGCATAGGGGGAAGTAAGTGGAGGTGGAGATGGGCATATACTTACCAACATAGAAGCTTTCTAAATTCCCTTTCTATGATGTACAGGGCGGCTTCATTACATAGCTATGAGCACTGGTGATTAACTTAACTCTAGCAACTCTCTCTTCGAAGGTCAGTGCTTTGGGCTTGAAATTCCAAAGCTCTAATCATTCCTTGGTCTCTTTGGTCTTTGATCACCGGCTCTCATTCTTAAGTCCTCCCTCTCCACCCCATCTCATTGCCAAGGAAATGACATTCTTATTGCTCTGGAGATTCCAAGGAGTTCAGAGCTCTGGGCCGGGAACTGGGATCAAAATCCAAAGGGAATATAGACTTTTTATGGTCTCATGGTCACACATCCCTGTAAACACATGAATCCCTGAGAGTAAAGGTTCCAACTTGAAGGACTAAGACTCCTCCCCAGAGCACCTGTGCCCAGGCTTTACTGTGACCTCACCTTTGGGAAGTGTAAAGTGGCGAGTGGTACTCTCTTTATCTGGACCTACTGCTCTTAGATAAAAGTTGGCTCCCAGAGCAGTTAAAGGCCATGGAGCTAAGTTCACATCTGCTTTACAAGGAAATTAAGGCAGAGAAAAATATAGGGGGAGTTGACTCTCCATCTGCCCAATGAGTCGCACTCCTGGGTCCTCTAGCCCAGGCTGATGCCCACGTGCCCAGTGGTGGCGATTGGAGAATGCATGACTCAGCCTGTACACTGTGCCCACTACACAGCATCGGTTCCCAGTATCCATGTTCCCAAGCCAAGTGACAAGATGTGCTCTGAGACCACAGTCACTTATTTCTCCCTGGTATCAGCTCCCTTCAGTATGCAAGACTAAGAAATTCTGATTAAGAAAAGAAGAGATGACACGAGAAGAGACATGAAGAGAAGAGAAAGGAAAAGTCCACCACGCCTACTGGCTGCACCTTTTCACCTCACTTGAATGCTTTTTTTTGCCTCATAGAAAGTGGGCTGAGTGTTATTTGCATGGGTGCTTTAAATATTAGGAGATCAGGAGTTGTTACTGACATTTCTTCCAAGTGCAGAATAAAATGTAGCACCTTTCATAGCAAAAAAAAAAAAAAAAAAAATAGAAATGTATGTGAAGTCAATAAAAAGAAAGCATCAGCATTTGTTTTCACAGGGGCGAGTCTCTGCAGTTTTGTTTTGACCTTCGCAAATTGACACAGTGAACAATATCCTAGCAGCAGTGATGTTAGCAGGATCCCATCTGTGGGGCTGGCAGTTTCTGTTTTCCTTCACTGTCTGTTGGGTAGCCAGACAGTAATCAGCAGTGCTGGGCACCACCACCCACCTGCAGGAACCAACAGCTTCTAGGAAAAGGAAAGAAGCAAGGAGTGGTAACTCCCTGCCTGCTGCAGGCCAGTGGCTGGAGGTCAGAAGTCCACACTACACTTGGCAGTGCGCTGCAAGCCATGGTAATCCTAGCTCTTGGGAGGCAGAGGCAGGAGGGTTATCTTGAGTTCAAGTCTAGGTACAGTGTCAGCACACAAGCCCAGCTTATTTATTTATTTTCTCTCTTTTCCTGGAACACAATAAGCCTTGGTGGTTCCCTTCCACCTTGAAGTGAGTCCCTGCAGTCCCTTTTGAATTGCAAATACTCCACCCTCTTCTGTGAACAGACCACTTATCCTGTTACACCACCACTGAAACCATCCGGATTGTGTTACCGGGTTTTGGGGTGCAGGCCTCTCCTCCTGGAGATGATTTCTAGGTTCTTTTGGTACTGAGAAAAGACTTGGTCAAGAAAATCACAGATGGTAGCAAAGTTTTATTAGAGATAGGAAAAGAAACGGGCTCTGCACAATGAGTTTGTGCCAAATAAAAGCTGGAAAAGAAGCACACCATACTGCGTGAGGGTGGGCCACCATGCAGGAGAGCTCAGTACCAAACCTCAGCCTGGACCGTCCTTTCAGTGCCACCCACTCTTCAGATTGAGGTCAAATCTCCGCTTGCATATAGAAAACCAGCAACCTGCTGGAGTTCTCCCGAGATGTCCACAGTGCAGGCCTTGGGATCTGCCCTGTTCATGTGCTGGGATCTTGTCCCGCCTCCTTTCCCAGACACTTTTGGCAGAGCTGGAGTTCCTGCTATAGAGTATCAAATGCTGCAGATTACCACTGCCAAAAACATTAAAACTCCCAGCTGTGCCTGTCCTGTTGGGGCTCCCAGCTGTGAACTACAACTGGTCTCCTTTCTCTCCTCAGTGAGAAATTATCCACATTTCTCTCCTCAGTGAGCCCTAAATCTCTGCCTAGTAAATCCCATGCTTAACTGACATTTCCTGATGGAGTCAGTGAATCTAGGACTACTACAAAAGGGTTGGTTAAACTCCTCAATTCAGCACATGGCAGGACTTGGGGGACAAGGAATCAGGATGTTGAGTTCAGCAGAGTGGATCTGGAATTCCTGCCCTGCTTATAAATGTTGTGAGACTTCAAATGTAAAGCTGACGCAGTGACACAGTAAGAAATAATATGCATGACTGGTCTAGCACACAGAAGGAGTTCCTAAAGTGGTAGCTGTCGTACATAATCTAGGACATTTGCCCTGTGCTCCTTTCTGTTAATCACCCTGTGATGGTGTCCTCCAATGCAAATTCCAAGGAACAAGCTCAAAAGGCTTTCTGCTCGCCCTTCACAAATTCTACACCCAGGCCAGAGGGTGCAGAAAAACAAAGTAAAAGATATGTCTAAACAATTTTGAGGAAAAAAAAGAGTTTAATTTCCAAAATGTATGTAATAGAAAGTGAACATTTGTTCAAGTTTAGTGACCCCAAATCCCAGCAAAATAGAAATGTTCTAAGCCAGGCTTGGTGTTGCTGGCCAGCAACCCAGGACCTCAGGGAGACTAAGATTGGAGGGAAGCAGTGGCCACAGGAAAGCATTGCCTGCATGGTCTGGAAGTCCAGGGGCCACAGAGCTGAGGGCCACGCCTCACCCCGCCCTGCCCTGACTGGCCTCACCCAGGGGAGCTCAGGGCTGTGCAGGTCACAGTCCTGGTCCCCAGTGCCAGCTAGCAAGTTGTGCAGGTGACATGGGAGAGGGCCTCTGTGGCCCAGCCCCAAGTGACTTCCTGAAATGCTGGCTCTGCCCCGCCCACTGGGTTTCCTATGGGCTGCTCAGGCTAGGGTCAGTTGCTAGTCTCTGACTCTCTGCAGCTCCTGTGCACTTCCGTCGGGGCTCCGTGAGTGCCATGGCTGAGCTGTGCCCGCTATCCAAGGAGCTGTCGTGTTGCATCTGCCAGGAGCTCTTCAAGGACCCGGTCACCATCCCATGCGGCCACAACTTCTGCATGTCGTGTCTGGACGAGGCCTGGGCCTTCCAGGGCGAGCCCTACCGGTGTCCCCAGTGCCGCGCCTCCTACACCACGCGCCCGCTGCTGCACAAGAACACTGTGCTGTGCGCCGTGGTGGAGCAGTTAGTGCAGGCCAATCAGGCGCACGCGCAGGCCTGTGACAGGAAGCCAACTGGCTGCGTCCAGGACCAGGACTGGGTGCCCTGCCACCAGTGCCCCAGGGAGAAGGCCGTGATGATCTGCCTGGAGTGCGTGGCCTCCTTCTGCCTTGTGCACCTGCAGCCGCACCTCAACGACCCGGCCTTCCGGGACCACCCTCTACAGACCCCTATGCCTGACCTGCATGTCCACAAATGCCCCCAGCACTACCTTCTGCAGGAGTTCTTTTGCGCTAAGCACAGCAAATGCATTTGCCAGAGCTGCCTGGTGGAGCACAAGGTCTGCTCACCCATAACCCTGAGCGAGGCCAGTGCTAACCTGGAGGTAAGCCAGGGCCGGGAGGTGGCCATGGGCCCCAAGACCCTGGGTTAACATGCGATCCTATGTGGAGGAAGGCTCTTCTGATAGGCTTGCTGCATGAGATCTGCCTCTTTCCAGGCCACCTGTGGCCGCTGAGCTGGGCTGGGGGACACCATGCGGTTGGGATGGGCATCCCAGTGAGAGAGCAGAAAGGAGCTGGGAGATTATGCAGCCTTCTCCTCTCCACCTCATCCATTGCCTGTTGTCCACTTGCCCATTTGGCAGGACTCAGGTAAAGCTGCCTGCCCCAAGCCTGTGCTTGTCTGATGGTGTTTAGACTTCTGTGTCCCCTTAAATCCTGGTGCCACTCATGAGGTTCCTATTAGTTCCATTTCATAGTTCAGGGCTCCTGAGGTTCAGAGAGGCTAATCTAGCCGAGCTAATGCAGTAAATGGCCAAGGGAACCCTGGGGCCCAGACACTGCAGTTTCCCCCATAGAGCTGACTCCTAACCAGAGTCTAGAACGTGGAACATTCTTGAGCCAAAGGCTTTGTGGAGCTGAAGAGTTGTGGTGGTCAGGGAGGGCAGGCAGAGCCCAGGAATACCCAGATGGGAACCAAGGAGAGCTGGGCTATTGCACCATAGTGCCCTCAGCCTGGTGTGTGCCTTTGAGCACGGGATTCAGCCCCGGGGACTTGGGTAGAGGGCTAGCTAGAGTCCTAAGAGACTGGAAGATCTGGGGATGCTTGCGGTGCTTTGAGTCACGTACTTTCCCCGCGGGTTCAAAGTGGAGGCTGGAGAGGTATCCAGCCCCAACGCCAGCATAGCAGGAAGACCAAAGTCTGGTCTGGGTGTTGTCGCAGCACACTTAAGCCCGGGTGAGGTCACAGTGGTGGAGGGTGGTGCCAGGACCAGGGTGCAGGCCTTGCTCCCTCTACCTTGGTTCTGTCCAATCCTTCCTGGCTCTCTGAAGTTGAATTGGGCTCCTCGGGAGCTTTTCCACTGCGTCTCAGCAGCTGGACTTCAGGGCAAGTCCTTTGGGCTCTGTGGTCACTGTAACTTGGGCACACACGGTGTGATCCATAAAGGTGGTGAATGGATAAATGTGCAAACATTTTATTATGGCAAAAGACACATTGCTGTTAATCTTCCTCAGAACACCCCCCCATGCACACGCACACACACATGTACACACACACACATACACACTTGTCCAATCACCCTTGCCACTTTCTGGAGCAGTTCTGGAAGTCCTCTTTCACCAGTGTCTTAGTGAGGTGTGATCAAAATACAGTGGGTGCTGCTGCTGAGTGCCATCCAACAGAAAGGCAGACTTGTAAAACATGACAGCAGTGCATCTCCGTCCAACTTATTTGCCAGATCTGACACTGTGTGACTTCTGGCTCTTCCCCAAAGTCAAAAGAACCGTGAAAGGTAAACACAGTGAACAGATTCAGGACTCAAGGCAGCCAGGACTGCGCACCTGGAGACAGTCATGAAAGAGGACTCAGAACTGCTTCAGAAAGTGGCAAGAATGTAGGGAGAAGTGTGTGCAAGTTTAAGGGGGTATATTTTGGGGGATTGATACCAATATGTCTTTTACTGCCCTGATTGTCTCTGGCAGAGTGGAGCATTCACTGTATCTTTGCTGCCTGTTCCAGGAGAGAACCCGCCCAGCCTTTGGGACTTGCAGCCCTGCTTTGCCCCATAGAGCTTGGCTTTTGACTGAGTCCCTGCAGTCTCACCCTGCATTTCTTTATTTGGGACCCCACCTCTAGCGGGGGAGATTAGGGGCTCTGGGGAAGCACTTCTAGGGCAGGATCCAGGGCTTTACCAGGACTTCAGTCTGAGGGGCCCTGCACCTTCTTTTGGTACTGGGAATGGAACTCAGGACCTGGCACTTGCCAGGCAGGTGTTTATGCAGCTGAGCTATATCATTGGACCAGGGACCTGAATCTTAAATTGGCTCCCAAGCTGATAAAAAGGCAACACCTTGGGTGTGTGGGGACATTTCTGTAATTCCAGGCCTTTGGGAGGCTGAGGCAGACTGACTGCAAGTTGCCCAGCTGCAGAAATTTAGCCACTTAGTGAGACCCTGTCTCAAAATAAAAAATTAGAAAGGGCTGGGATACAGCTCAGTGACAGGGAAAGGCACCTGGGCTCCTGGAGGGACACTCAGGTTCTTCCTCTTGTGCTTCAGGCCCCTTAGGGCCTAGAGACCTGCATGGCCCTGAAGGACCTCTGTTCCTTGCAGCCTCTGCAGCAGCTCTGGGTGTCACCATTCCTGATTCCTAATCATTGTACCAGGGTTCCTCCTGTTGGGCTGGAGGGGAGAGGCAGCATCACAGAAGTCCAGTCAGAAACCTCAGCAGTGACTTGGGCTTTCCTGATAAAGGACCTGTGGCCCTGGGCTCTGTGTTCCGCCATGACACGTGACTCAGTGGCTTCTTCAACTCCAGATTCAAGGTCAGGGTCAGCCCTGATTGTCTCTGGCATGAGGGGAGAAGGAGAGAAGTAGAAGGGAAGGTCAGAACATGTTAGCGAGTTACTTAGAGAGAGGAAATGTCTTTCTTTCTTTTTCTTTTTTCCTTAGAAATTTCCAGCATGTTCAGTTTGGTCACATGGCTATAATTTTACTTTTTGCAATGGGATCTCATCATAGGCTGGCCTTGAACTCACTGTGTATCCCAGACTGGCCTAAACCCATGCATTCCTCCTGCCTCAGCCTGCCTAGTGCTGGGATTACAGGATTTATACTAGAACCTTAGCTGTGCCAGGAAACAGCACCAAGGTCTTGCACAAGGCACCTAGCTGCTCTGTGCTGTGGTGTTCTTTTCTGTAAAGGTTGGAAGATTTCATCCCCAGAGCATCGCTCTTAGCTTGCTTTAAATAAATTAATATGTACAGGGCACCAAGCCCATGCCGGCACACAATAAGCATGTGAAAAACTACTCACTGGCCTTCTCATTTCTCTGCCCCACCACAGAGCACAGAGCGTGGATGTTGGAGCTTCAGATACTGATTAGACTCTGTGTGTGTGTGTGTGTGTGTGTGTGTGTGTGTGTGTGTGTGTGTGTGTATGTGTGTTACTGGGGACTGAATGCAGGATCTGAGTGACATCCCCGGCCTTTTATCCCTTTATTATTATTAATTTTAAATGCTGAGACAGGGTGTCACTATGTTGCCAGGTTGCTTGAACCTCTTTTGTGCCTCAGCTTCCCAGAATGTTGGGCTTCTGTCTCCTGACTTGACGTGACATCTTGGAGAAATAATCCGAGGATGATGTTAACTTCCTGCCTCATTTCCTTGTGTCTCTGGTGTGGCTGGGAACCAAGTGAGGCTGAATCACCTTAGCTGGGTGACTGAGTAGATTTGCAGCTGGGCTTCACCCCTGTGGCCTGGCTCATCATTCTCCAGGGCTTGCAGGTACCATCCTGGGGTGGCCGTATGAGTCCAGGGCCCTGATTTGTGCTCCCTGCCCTCCTGAGGCTGATCAAGGGAGTCCCAGCTTCCTCTGGATTGGCAGGGCCCCTGGAAAAGCATCCTGGATTCAGACATGTCTAAGGGGATCCCCTTCTCCTGCGTCTTTTTCTTTTTGTGCTTCTGGTGCCCTGCTGGGCAGCAGAAGGGTTGTCCCCATGGCTGAATCTGCCATGGTGGAAGCAGCCATCGTGGTGTGGATGGTCACCTCTCTGTCCTCTGTGCCTTGATTTCAGCAGCTGTCACAGGAGGAGTGGTGAGCACAGTCACCAGCACACCAGCTGGTAATAACTGTGGTTCAGGGCAGGGACACCTGTGCTGTTGACTTAGGTTCAGAGTCAGGGCATCAGGAGCACCAGAGAGAAAGATTCAAGGGTGGTCTGGGTGAGGCTAGGCCAGCCCAGCAGGGGCATCTCACCGCTGTTTGCCTCCTTCACAGAACAAGCTGAGGCAGAAGCTCAGCATCATGGAAAATCAAATCAGTGGGGCATCCCGAGCACTGGAGTTCGTGCAAGCCAGGAAGCAAAGAGTTCAGGTGAGTGCCCTCCCTGCCCCAAAGGTCCTTAACCTCCAAGCCAAATAGACAAGGCCAGACCTGGAGGGAGCTGAGGTGCTCCAAGCTTCAGCACTGAAGGGTTGCTACCAAAGCATGCGGAAGGCCCTGTGCACAAGGAAGATGCATTGCAGACCAAACTGAAAGCTGCCTGGAAACCCAACCTTGCTCGGTGTGGTAGTGCACTTGGGAAGGTGAGGTTGGGAAGATCACCAAGAGTTCAAAGCCAGCCTGGGCTATGTAGCAAGACCCTGGCTCAAAAACCCTCCAAAGAACAGTAATGGAGAAAGATGATTATAGTTGTGATGGGGGCGGAATTAGGAGGCCAAAATTCATGCCCACTAGGGTTGCAACTGTCTATGCAAAGGACACACAGTTGTTTCCCAAGGCTGCTGTGAGAAGTTGCCACACACTGTGTGGCTTCTAAGAACAGACCTAGATTCTGTCCCAGTTTTGGAGGCCGGAAGTCCCCAGCCAAGGTGTTGTAGGGCCACACTCTCTCTGCCCGGCTCTTCCAGCTTCTGGGCCTTGGACTCTCCTAGGCCTGCAGCTGCCTTGTGCCAGTCCCTGTCTCCATCTCTGCGTGGTCACCTCCTCTCCTGCACCTCTTCTTCTGTCCATGGATTGAGGGCCCACCTGGATAATCAGGACGGCCTCACTTGAGGACCCTTCATTTAGTTAACTCTACGAAGGCCCTTATTCTTGCTGATCACCTATAATCCCAGCACTTTGGAAGCTGAGGCAGCATCATCATCATGAGTTCAAGACCAGCCTGGACTATATAGAGTGTTCAAGGTCAGTCTGGACTACATAGCGAGAACTTGTCTCAAAAACAAAACCAAAGCAAACAACCAAAAAACTCTTGTTCTCACTAAGGTTAAGATCACAGACTATGGATTGTGGACTTGTCTTTGAGAGGTCCGCATTAACCATTCCAGAAAGTGTAGGGAAACACTGGGCAGAAGTCTTCTCGGATCAGGGTGGAAATGGTTTTCTTGATTTGTTTTTGTTTTTGACTTTTTTCCCCTTTGTTTATCTCTCTCTCTCTCTCTCTCTCTCTCTCTCTCTCTCTCTCTTTCTCTCTCTCTCTCTGTCTGTCTCTCTGTCTCTCTCTTTCTCTTTTTTTGAGACCGGGTCTTGCTATGTAGTCCACAGTCTGGCCTTGATCTCACAGTGGTCTTCCTGATTCAGCCTCTTGAGTTCTGGGATTCTATGTATGCACCACCATGCTTCGCTTCAAAATTTTTTATGATACTAAATTCTTTTCAATTGAAAGAAGCTTGGATTTTTTTTTTAACATGCTGAGCCATGGCATCTGTTTCAGCTGTGGTTTACTCAAGGATGCCCGCTGGGTAAGGCTCTAGTGCTGTGGTCAGCTGGGCAGGTCTGGAGCCTTCGTTTTTCCCTCCGCACAGTGGAATCTCACCTCCTTTCTGAAGAGGATCTTGAGGCTGAATGAGAGGGTGGGATGAACATGTAATTGGTTAAACTGTTGCAAAGAAATGCACCCCCCAATTCAGAGACTGCAACCAGATAGAAGATGACGGTGCTCACGGAGACAGCACAGCCCCCACAGGAGTCGCCCAGCCTGGTGGGGTGGCTGTGTTCCTCGTGATCATTCAGGGACCCAGTCCCCCTTCCTTCTTGTCATCCTCCTGCTCCATGTCACATTATCTGTCACTTTTTTGTTGAAGCTGGGTGTTTTCTAGCTTTACCACAAAGGGAAATGGGCCAGCGGATCAAGGAAGTGGCAGATCCATCAGGGTTGTACAATGTGCGAGGTGTCAGGACCTTGGCACAGAGGAGGGTCCTGCGGCCTCGGCCAACTGGCATGCACCTGCCTTTCTTGATACCTGTTAGTGTGTCCGGGCTTCAGTGGCCCACATAACACACTCGCTGGCCGGCTTAGTGACTATTTCTCCTGTGGGGTTTGGGATGTGTGTCAGGGTCACCTGGAAAGTGGACCCTAAGTGATGACCAAGATGGCAGCAGTCGTGTCAGGCTGCATTTCTTTTCTGGCTCAGTGTTCCATCCTTGTTCTAGCTGTGAAAAGGAGGTGAGAAGGAAAACAATGATTTCCTTCCTTCCTACCTACCTTCCTGCTCCCATCTTCCCTTCCTTCTATCCTTTCCTCTCCTCTTCCTTCTCTTCCTCTTCTTTCTCCTTCTTCTTTTCCTTGTGATGCTGAGGATGGGACCCAGGACCTTCTCACTGAGCTACATCCCCATTGCTTTTAAACTTTTATTTTTATCATTTAAAAATTTTTTATTTTTAAATAAGTTCATGTTGTAAAATTTTTCTTTATTATTTTGAATGTAGTAAAATACAAGAGAACAATGCCAATTTAGACAATATAAATGGTACAGAACATCATAGCAGGTTACTGGCATAATAGTAATAGGTTCCATAGTATATCGTGGTATTTTAAAAAATTTTTTATTTAAAGAGAAAAAAGCCAAAACAAAAGAGTAAAAGGGTACAAGTAATATAGAATTTAAAAAAAAATAAACAGTAAGACATCACTAGTTAACAGATTACATATTGTCATCTTAGAAATAGTTGTTCAAGTTACAAAATTCAAGCATACAAAGTGGACATTCAAACAGTGAGATTGCAAACAGTTGTGTTCAATGATCCAACAAAAACTTAGTAATATGGTTTTCTATCTTACACACTTAAACATACATGCTATTGTATCCTTTAGAGCACTTTCTTTTCCTCTCTTTTTTACAATATGAATTACGTATTTGGGGTTTATTACTGACACAGTTCTTATTACTTTTTTTTGAAGAGAATAAAAACAAAAGTGATAAAACAGAGTCAGTCAAAACAAAAGGATAGACATAGTACATGATGTGAAAACAGAATACCAGGTGGTCAACAATGGTTACCATAATGCCTCTTGCTATCTTAAAAAGAGTTGCCTATATCATCAGGTATAATAAAATTGAACAAAACCAGTAAAACCTAAACATTGGAGGCCTTACAGGACTTCAAAAAAGGATAATAGTCAAACCAGAATGGGCATCATAGTGAATCTTATTGCCTTCAAAGTAGTTGCCTATACCCTCAAACTTGATACTATCAAACAAAACAGAAGAGAGTAAAATCAGTCCATACAAGATGGAGAGAGCAATACATGGGTTCAAATCAGGTTAATAAGAAAACAAAAAAGTTACTATACTATATCCTGCTATTTTTAAATTTATTTTTCCCTTAATTAATAAAATAATAAAAAAATTGAAAAAAGTGGTGATTGAGATAAAAGAAGACATAACAACATAACAATACAGGTCAGAACAGAACAATTCAAGCAACATAGTGTTTCACCACCAGATAACTCAACGTAATAGTAGTTACCATAGTGTCTCTTCCCTTGAAATATTTGAGTATAGCTTCGGATACTATAGCATCAAATATGTCAAGACAGTCTGAAACCATTCAAGAGAATGAAAGTATTACAGGGTATTTACAACCAGCTAAGAGAAAATGAACAATGGTTTCTATATTATTTCTTTGCCTATAAAAATTTTGTTTATACTATCACATATAGTAAAATCCAATAAGATACAACATGATAAAACTGATGGAGACAGAAGAACAACAGTTTGATGGGACTTCAAAACAAGATGATATGAAATCAGCACTAGCTATTATAATGTCTTGTTTTCTTCAAAATAGCTGTTCATACTATCACAGACAATAAAATCAAATAACCCAGAATAAAACCATTCCAATTAATGAGTGAAAACATAAGGCTTCAAAGCAATATAATGGGGAATCATGATTGCCACATACTTTTATGTATTCTTATTGTTTCTTATACTATGGTAACTATGTGGTATTTATACATGTGAGTTTGATTTATTTCACTTATGTGTATGGTCACAAGCTGTGCCCATTTATTTATAAATATCTCAATGTGATCCATCTTTATAGCTGAGTAGTACTCCATTGTATAAAAATACCACAACTTTTTTATCCATTCCTCAGTTGATGAACACTTAGATTATTTCTAAGATCTGGCTATTACAAACTGTGCTTCTATAAACATGGGTGCATATATACCACTGTGGTATGATGCTTTCAGTTCTTCTGGGAATATGCCTAAAAGTGGAATAGCTGGAACAAATGGAACTTTCAATCCTAGCTTTTTGAGAAACCTCCAGACTGACCTCCACAATGGTTGCACCAGTCTACACTCCCACCAACAGTGCAGGGGAGATCCTTTTCCCCCACAGCCTCTCCAGCATTTGTTGTTGGCAGTTTTCTTGATCCTGGCCATTCTTTTAGGAGTGAGGTGAAATCTCAGTGTGGTTTTAATTTGCATTTCTCTAATAACTCATGATGATGAACATTTTCTCATGTATTTATTTGCCATTTGTATTTCTTCATCTGAGAATTGTGTATTCATCTCAGATGCCCATTTTTGGATTGGATCTTTGAATTTTGGGGGTCTGATTTTTTAAAATTCTTTATATGTTTTCGACAGAAGTCCTTTGTCTGAGGGACAGTTCACTAAGATTTTTTCCCAGTTTGTGGGTTTTCCTTTCACTATGCTGGAGATTTCTTTTGACGTGCAGAAACTTTTTAATAAGACGTGATCCCAGTTATTGATTCTGGGAAGTATTTCCCATGCATGGTTCGATTCCTATTCAGGAATTCTCTACCTACTCCTATGTCTTCAAGGTTTTTACCCAATTTGTCTTCCAATAGATTTAGTGTTTCTGTTTTAATATTCAGATCTTTGACCCATTTGGATTTTAATTTAGTACATGGTGATAGACATGGGTCTAGTTTTACTTTTCGGCAAGTGGAGAGCCAGTTTTTCCAGCACCATTTATTAAAGAGACTGTCATTCTTCCAGTGAACCTGTTTGGCCCCTTTATCAAAGATTAAGGTGGTTGAGTGTGTTTGTAGTTGTGGTTGTATCTTCCAATCTATTCCACTGATCTTCAGCTCTGTTTTGGTTCCAGTACCAT